TTGGGGGGGGTTTGAGCTCGAGTAGAGTCTCTGGGAATGTTTTTTAGGGGACTCTGATCTCCTCTAGCTGTGTTTGGGGGGTCTTGAGGTCCGGGGGTGGCTCTGGGGATGCTTTAGGAGGACCCCGATGGGGGACAGGGCAGTTTTGGGGTGTCCGGGGAAGGCAGAGCTGATCCTGGGGCCATGGAGGGCTTCGGAGGTATCCATAGGATTGGAAATAACTCAGGGGGGACAGGGATACATTGAGGGGGGTGTCCAGAGCTGAGGAGTGTGTTTGGAGGTCAATGAGATGAGGATGCTGTGGGATGCGCCAGGCTGGGAGAAGTTCATGGAATTCTGGAGTGAGGAGTTTCTGGAGGGGAGCTGGAATGGGGATACTGCATCCCAGGTGACCTTTTCCAGCCTCCCCTCTGCCTTCCCAGGTTCTCCCACATGATCCAGGACAAGGCTCTCCGTACCTCCTGGGCACAGAAAATGAAGGAGAGGCAGGAGAGGAAGCTGGTCCGGGATCTGGCACGGCAGCTGGAAGAAGGGAAGAAGAGGGAACGAGAGGTAACAGGGAGCTGGGAATGGACAATTTCTGCCTTTCTCATACACAGTCTCAATCTCTGCCCTCATCCTGGGCTTCAGAGCCATGGCAGATCCCACCACTGTGGCAACACCCAGGAGAAGTGCAGCTGGGATGGCAAATTCCCTGTCCTGGTGCCAAATCCAGTGACAATCACATATTGCTGACTTGGGATAAGCTACCTCACTCGGTTCAAGCCTCATCCAGGTGGAAAAGCTGCTGGAATGCTGGATTTCATGCTTGGGCAGGCAGCAGGGCTGGGGCAGTGCTGGTTTGGGGTTAATCCCAGAGGGATGGATCCCCAGGGAATGATTTGGTGCTGTTCCCACAGGAAAAGAAGCGTCGGAGGGAGGAGAACCTGAAGCGGCGCCTGGAAAACGAGCGGAAGGCCGAGATTGTCCAAGTGGTGAGTCCCAGCTTGTTCCTTCTCCTGGTTGGGAGCATCCCACAGCCTGCAGTCCCCATGGATCAGGCTCCAGTGTGCTCCAGTTGCTCTCCCTGGCTCTGTCTTTGAAGGATACTGGGTGGACTGGGGGATCCCAGGAAAACTGGGTGTGCTGGGAGAGTGTCTCCTGTGGCAGGCAAGGTGGGGTGGAAGGGGACTGCTGCTCTTCCAAGCTTAGGAATGCAAAAACTGAGGGATAATGAGCCGGAAAACATGGCAGTGATAAGGATCCATGTGGAAAATCATGGCTTTTCCCTTGGAAAGAGACCTAAGAGCTCAGTGTCAAGACCCACACAGCCATGCTGTGGTGAGGAATGGATTAGTTTAGGATAAATCCACTCCTAAATCCCAAATCCATGGAGTTGGGGGTGTGGGAGCCATGCCATTCCCATCCCACCTGATTCTCCCACTCTGTTCCATCCCTGGAAGTGTTCAAATCTGGCTTGGATGGGGCTTGGAGCAACCTGGACTAGTGGAAGGTGTCCCTGTCCAATGGAACTGGATCCTCCTTAAAGCCCCAACCTAACCCATGCCAGGCTCCATGGTTCCATGAAATCCTCCTCTTCTTCCCATTTTCCAGATCCGGAACCCCCTGAAGCTCAAGAGAGCCAAGAAGAAGCAGCTGAGGCGTGTGGAGAAACGGGACACACTGGCTCTGCTCCAGAAGACACCTGTGAGGCACAGCAAGGCCACAGAATGAGGCAGGAATCAGGATACTGCCATGCAGCCAGGATTCCTAGGGGGATCCTGCTGCCTTCCAGGGCTGTTTTCTGGGCTCTGAGGGCAGGAATCACTGCTGGAGTGTTGGACAGACAACAGGACAGAGCTGGCCTGTGTTATTTCATGCCCACAGGAATCAGCTGTTGGATCTCCCTATCCCTGTGCAATGGGGATGTTGCTGGAAGAGAACTTTGCTTTCCCAAATTTGCCTTTTCCTTATGAAAATGAACAGGAGCTGGGACAGATTCACCTCCAGCAGCTCTGGGTGGTGCTGGTGGCTACAGCCCTAAGCTATGAGA